AACAAAGTCCTTCTGAAGTCAATGAATGACTTTACCCTGGTTAATAACCTGGTTATATTCCAAGACACTGCATTCAGTGTGAAAGGAGAGGGAAGAGAAGCCTGATAGGCCCTTATACCGCTGTAGTCCTGTTGTTCCGGACTAGATGTAATAATCTGAGATGAGGGAGGTGTGATCGCCTGCAGGCAGGCGGTCTGACTCTTGCAGTGGTGCCGGGGTTGTGGAAGAGGACTGAGGATAGGGATAGTTTCCTCCCTTTTGTCGGGTTGTTAAGAGCTTCCTCTGTTCTCTCCAGGAGCTTTAAGGAATTCTGACTTCTTTGTCGCAGCAGAAATCAGCAGCTGCGTCTGTAGCAGGGTCTGGAGATTTGCTCCATGCACTCCCCTCTCTCAGTGTAAAGGCGTGCCTCCTGCCCTCCCCGCAATGCTTGTTCGTCTTGCATCTGGCCCCAGTCCTGGTGGGATTGTCTGGGGTGGCTTTCCTGCTCCCACTGTACTTGCTCTGTGCATGTGCGCTCAGGGACACCACCGGGATCTGCCCCTTAGTCTTCCCTGAGTCTTGGTCTCTGAGGTTTAGGTGGGTGCGTGAGGTTTTTCTGCAGCCACACAGCAGTTCTGTCTGTGTTTCTCCCTGAGCCAAACACGCAGAACCAGGTCACCCGAGTTTACAGTCCAAGAGCAAGGCTACGTCACCCAAGTGCAGCTCTGCCTAGGTTCTAGTGCCGCCCATGAAAGTCTGCAGATCTGGGAGATGATGTTGAAGGTCACCACCAGTGCGCAATATGGTATTGCTATCTTGGGAAATTCACCATCACCAGGTTCATATTTGGTGTGCTTTCTGCATTGCTGCCTTTTGTCCTTGTGTGTGTGTGTGTGTTTATGCGTGCTTGCTACTGAAAACCAGCCTCTGCGGCCTTGGGAGTATAACTCCGTTTATTTTCCAGTGTCAGACATAAAGTAAAAGATATAAAGGCTAACAGTGAGAAAACAGCTGTGTAGATAAGCCCCCTTTTTTCCTGCGCTCATTCCTTTCGAAGAGTCGTCCTGATGTGGTAAGTGGGTTTTCAGTTCTTCTCCCCGATCTTGTTAAGGGCTTTCCTCCCAGTGCTTTCAAAGGGAGACCCAGAAACCAGGCCGTGAATTCTTCCTGTCGCTGCAGCTGCTGAAAACCATCCAGTGCATCATGGGAAGGGTGATCTGGACAGGGCTTTGTGGGAATCTGGAGAGTTCTCCATCGGGGGCAGCTGGTGCAGTCCATGCCCATGTTGATTTCTTTTCCATTTGAAAGACCTTTTCCACACCTGTACAACTGGGATGAGAACAGTGGAACTGGGCAGCAGCTGTCCTGTGTACACTTGCCTGCTCCACTGCTTCAGTGTTAAAACATTTTATATCGTTTTTTGTGTGTGCCAAAAACCAGCCCAGACAGTCCTGTGTACACTGGGGAGTCTTGGGAGTGCTTAGAGCAGATTCCTCCAGGCACAGCATAACAGTCATGTCTGCCTCAGGCCTCTGCTGCTTTTCACCCCTGTGCTGATGCTGGTTCTGTGTTTTTTTGTGTGAACCTATATACAGTGTGGATTTCTGTTACATTTCCCTTGAATTCCTTAATGCTCTCTGCTGGTCTCCCTTATCCTATATCCTATCCCAGATCCTATAGTTCCCTACTTAACACAACTAAAACCGCAACCTCATTCTCTTCCTGATCCTGGGTACTGAAATTGCACACGTTCCGAGCTTCTCTCGGTTAGGGACTGTCGTGTTATGTCTTCACAAGGGGGCTGTGTTAAGGTAGCGTGGTGTAATTCTGGTCATTCTGTGGTAAGCTGATGATGTCAACAAGGACTGTGTCACTAATGTTGGTGGGTGGCAGGGGGGTGAGATGTATGACGTAAGAACTTGTAACATGATCACAGGTGGGTCAGATCTTTGTGGATTGAAACCAGGTATTGTATAATTCACTTCAAAAGCTCTTAGGAGTCCTTAGAAGTTTCTCTGATTCTGTCATAGCAAGAGCTGCTTCGTCAGGAAACTTGTAAATCATGCTGATGGCGTGCAGGTCTCCACTGAAAGACTGTGGCCAGGAAGCTGTTATAGGTTTCCTAGGCACGTTCTTACATGTTTTCCTGCTCCATGCCCATCCACAGAGGGGTTTGTCTTGCTTTTCCTGTGCTCACCTGGCCTTCAACCAAGGTGTGCATGTGGAAGTGTGCCTTGAGTGTTGTGGCTGTGTTTTTATATGTCTCTCCTCCCTCTGCTGTGCGGACAGCCCCCTACACGTGAGCCACAGGCCCTTGCTGACGGAGGCCATTGTCCTGGAGGGCTTGGACAGCACCCCGCTGTCGCCCCTCAATCCTGTGGACCTCTGCAGCGCGCTGCTGGACGACTGCATGCCTGGCGGGCCAGAGGAGAGTGCCAGCGAGAGGTAGGCATGCTCCTTTTCATCTCCGCTGCCCAAACTGCTAAAAAAACGGAGGTTGTTTTCCTGGGAGAGCAGACAAGTCTGTCGTGTCTAATATGAAGATTCTGTCAGAGTATCCGCCTTATTCTAACCCACAAGCCACTAAGAACAGCACCGTTGCAAACAAGACGAGGCCGTCTGTCCCATTCGGTAGTTAGTAGCTAATTGAACCTTTTATTGAAAGGATCCATCCTGGGCGGCTTGTGCCACACTCCCACTTCCCTTCACGTAAAGAGAGCCTTTCTTGCTCTCATCTTAACTCTCCATCTGGGAATGTCTGTTGTCTAATCACATGTAGCAGAGCTGGTTTGGACACGGTGACGTCATCGCCCTCCCTGCATGTGGCAGGGACCTCAGCCGCCTGGGCTGGGGGAGGTCTCCCTTCAGCTCACTCGGCTGGTTCCTTGTTGCGTTGCGCTGGAGACCCGGGTTCGCGCCCAGGTGTTGCGGGACAAAGCGGCAAGGGCATGAGCCCGCGCCGAACCCCGACGGTCACACACGCACCCACGTTTTTCAAATTCTTCAGATGTTTTGGACTCGTATCTTGAGCGTGGGACGGAGCAGAATGCCGAGCAAATTTAGGAATTTCAGAAACGGGCCTACGCGAGACTGGGTTTTTAACCTGCAGTCGTGCGAATACTAATCCAGCCTTCTGCAGAGATGCCCAGAGGGTGGCGGGTGTGACTCCGTGCTCTGCTCTCCTCCCCCTGACCTCTCCAGGGCCGAGCTGACCGATGCCCTGGACGCGATCGACTCCAGCCAGCCGCAGGTCCCCTCCTCCCCCGACGCCTCGCGCCCCAGCCTGGATCTGCTCCGAGAGGCAAGTTCGGCTCTCCTGTGTAAAAACGGCGCGCCTGTGTGGCTGTTCACGCAGAAGACCTACTAATCCGAAGCCTGGAGTCTCAGAATCTGTGCGGGTTTTTGCAAATGGACAAATGGCTATCGCCCTGACTAGCTCTGCCAGGCTTTGCCCACTGTGTTACTTCAGTCCACCAGCACCTGAATTACAAGACTGACCCCTAAATCGTTCACCGTGCCATTGCTCTGGGTGACTGGCTGTTCTAGTTTCTTGATACCCTTATTAATGAAATAGTTTTAAACTTCCAGTCTGATAAATTCTCCTCGGAAAGCATGCTTTAAACTCGTAGGCTTCTCATGATGGCTGGGCCTCTGCGTGGTTTTCCGTTTCAGAAGACAAAAGACTGCCACTTTGGTTAAGATTAAAACTGGCGCTTGCTTTTTTCCAAATGCTGTTCAACGCGAGGTGATCATTTTATAGCAGCATGAGGATTTATTCTTTTCTCGTCCCATCCCCTCAGCTCTTCAGCCCCACGTCCTTCCTGAGCTCGGCCTACCTGGACGCAGAGGAAGAGCAGCTCCTCAAGGTGAGTGCGGGGGCGGCTCGCCCAGGTGGTCCCTGCTCCTGGGAACTGCTGTACAGGAAAGAGGGATTATCGCTCGCCTGGCAAAAGACCGGCTCAGTCACTTCTCAGTCTGCTGTACCCTTGACCTGAGCGTCTGCGGTCGTTAAAGGGTTAAAGGATTCGCACACTGCAGCAAGACTGCTCCTGCTGTTCCCGATCTTAACCGCTGCGCGGGCTGGGGAGAGCACTGTGTTGTCCAGGGTGGGAGCGGTCTTGGCTTTGCTGTGTAAGAATGGCACACAGTTGAGTACTACACTGCACTGCACGGAGCTGAGGACAGGAGGAGAGTCTGTGCTAGTGGTCCGCATGGGCCGCCCCCTGACCCCAGTGTTTCCTTTCCCCAGAGATGCTCTGAGAGCGCAGAGGAGGACCGTGGTCACTCGCAGCCGCAGAAGATCAAAGGTAACGGAGTTTAACTCTGGTCTTCAGCCTGGGGCTGCGAGACAGTCGCTTTCTGATTGACGCAGACCCAGACCAGACCTTTTGTTTTGTTTGTTTCAGCTGGGGTCATTTGGTATGTTTTTGATTGGTTTGAACCAAAGTATTAGATTTTATTTATTGTTAAAAGAAATCATGTTTGCATGGATTCGCAGCACAGTCCAGTGAAGGTTGGAGATGAGTTTTAATTGTCATGAAAACTGAATTGTAACTGAAGGAGACACACGCAAGGTGTATTTCCCACAGAGCCCTGAATTACAGCTGTGTTATAGAGGGTTTTTAGTCTGAGTCCAGCTATGTTATTGGCATGAATGGGTGTTTATCCACTTGTGGCCCAGTGGCTCTTCCTGAGGCGACACAGACAACAGCAGGCGTTTGTTTAAACTGCCTGCAGCCAGGTCAGGAGTAACGACCTCAGGACAGAGTCGGATCTCTACCATCTGAATTGCACAAGCATGGGAAAAGAGCTTGGTCGATAAGCACCAATCGGGCTCGAAGCCGAGTGGACGAGATAAGGCAGCGATAGGAAGGGGATGGAGTTCTGAAATCCTGCTCTGCTGGTGCTCTCTCTCCTAGCGGAGATGGTGCAGTACGGAGCCCCGCAGGAGGGCTGCGAGGAGGAGGACATTCTGCCCACACTGCTGCAGCTGGCACAGGAGGTGTCCAACACTGGCCCCTGCCCTGGCGAGCTGACGCCGGGCCCCGCGCCCCCCGCGCCCGGCCTGGCGTGCAGCTGAACGGGCTGGCTGGAGCATGAGAGAAGAGCGCTGGCGTCGTACAGTCGATTCTCCGCCCGCTGTCTCCCTCGCTGCTCACTGCTCACCGCACAGGCAGAGGTGTCTAGTGAGCAGAAAGGACTAAAAACGGTAGGGGTCTGGGAGCTGGTGTTGGGATCGTATCTGTCATCATGTGCACGGTTTTCTGCCCTGAGAAATGCTCTATCCTGCCCTCCAGTGGTAGGAAGGAGTGGAACAGCCCTCTGGTTGTGTTGCAAAGACGTCGCCCCCTCATGGGAATTCTGTGAAAGTGCATGTACTGTAGGCACTCCCCCCCCCCCAAAAAAAATGGATGGACAGTATGTCCATTTTCTAACAATGTGTCTCTCTGCTGGTTCTGGAGAGCCCTGAGGGTTAAAGGCCTGAAAACAGCTGTGATTTTGACCAGTGAAGTTGCACATTAATTCAGCTCCTGCTGTTCTTCAGGCTCAGGACTAATACTGACTAATAATACTTTAGTACTTTAGTAATATATGTGCTCTTTGAGGTTAACCAACCAGAATTGCTGTTTTGCTATATGGCCATCTAGTGGTAGTTCTGGGGAATTGCATGTTGCTAAAGTCCTCCCGGGTCGAGCCTGTAGTGTGCAGCAGTCCCCCTTGTGGACATGCTTAGGAATTACATGCCGGTTGTCTCTACTGTGTGTCAGTAAAAAAAAGTAAAAAGTAAAAAAATTGACTGTATCTGGGAAATGTAGCGCTCTTCTCCCTCTTGGCTTTCTCAGTGGTACTGTGAAAATGGTAGATCTGGTATGTTCTGAACATGTGGTGTGAACTAGAAGGAATTCGTGATATTGGCCAGCAGAGAGGCATTTTGAGGGTTTCAGTGCTAGAGCTCCTTAGCATGTCTTAGGGGAGAAAAATCACACAAAATGAGTGGTGTCCAGAAATCGTGTGACCCTGCGACATTATTCTGTACAATGTGTTGGTGGTGGTGGGGAGGGGGGTCAGGGGAGAGGAAAAGGGGTGTCTAGGACGTTCAGGTCTGGCCCTTGGAGTCTCCCCGTGGGGCGTACAGGTGTTGCTCTGAAGTGCCATTACTGCACACAGGCTGCTGTGTGGTAAATCCTGCCAGTTCTGGGCAACCTTGTTCCTTTTCCTGGGCTGCTGAGGGGCTCTTAACTTCATGGGTGTGTCTTTGGCTCCCAGGGCAATCTGTCCTTGTGTTGAATGTGTCCCTACACATGCTGCTATGCAAACATCTGAGACACCGTCTACAGGAAACTGCAACACGCTTAGGTTAACTGAGCAATGCAAATATGCTTGAAGCCCTTGCGATCATTCTCTATTACAACAGCTTTGATATTAATGCCAATTCTGTTGATTCTTTGGGAGAAAAGATTACAATCTTGTCATTTAGGAATCTTTAATGCGCATTTATCAGAAGCTCCCAAAACCTGACCTCACCAGCTGAATTGAACCCACACGCGAGTGGTGAATGAGTGTAGTGACCCCCGAGTCATCTCATTCACCCGACAGGGCTGATTGAATCCTTGTCAGGTGTTCCTCCCCGTGCCTCCATAAAGATAAAAGCTACTGTTGGCTTAGAACAAGCTGACTCGCATGTCAGGAGAGAGTCAACATTGAGTTGTGTCTGTGCAGCGCAGGCGAAGGGAGTGTGCACAGTGTCCGAGATGTTTGTGTAGCAGCAGGGTTGTATGCAGGTATGGTCTGTGACCTGCCAGCTAACTGGAGCCAAGCACAGCTGCAAACCTTGCTGACAAAGGCCAGATGTTCTTGGCAGCCATTTAGCAGTCCAGCTGTTTGTTTAGCCTGGTGACCAAGAGGAGAAAAGACTGTAATTTGACACTAAAAAGATGTAATAAAAACATTTAGTTTTGTTTTGTTAATAGCACTTTCACCCAAGTGTGATGTCTAGCATCATCTGATGTTTTGTTCAGTTTGTGTTTGTGATCCTTTGTGTGTGAGGGTGTAGCTCACTCTTAAGTGTTATTCCACTGTTTGTGACTGCTGCTGGCTTTTGTAGGCATTTGGCTACTGACCGTTCTGTACAGCACACATTGCACTTAAGAAATATCTTGTATTTTATTAAACAAAAACTTTTGGAAATATCCAAGGCTCATGAATAGACTATTTTATGGAGTGTCATGTCTTGAGTTCTGAAGTAATCTCATTTACAATACAATGGGCGCCCCAACGTGTTCCAGTAGACCAGTATAACCCTTTGCATTTATTGGGTCTTTGTACATTCTGAAACATTTAATATCTAGAAGAAAATGTTATGCTGATCAATAACGCCCACTGTCACCTCTCAGTTCTGCAAGAAGCCAGCTTTCACAGTGGTAGAGCTTAAAATCCATTTACTGGCAGGCAAGCGCATTGGAAACTAAAAAAAGTTATATTTGTTTTTGATGATGGTATGTTTATAGTTCTGAACTAATAGTTTGTAAGACTTTGCATATTTTCTGTACAATATACTAGGCGTTACAGTACAACATCAATATAACAAAGTCTATAACCTATCAGATGTGCCTAATGCCACATGATATTCACACAGGAGTGTGAAAATGTTGGGAGTTTATATTTCGAAAACAGGTGTTGAGTGTTTTTTTCCCAGTAGTTCCTCCCGCAGCTTCAGTGATTGAAACGCACCTTGAATAATAACAACTGGCCGTTCGTTTCAGTTTTATTAGTGCAGAGAATTGTTTGTCGAAGTCAAAGTTTACAACCGAAGTTTTACAATCTGTAATTTATTCTTAAATATTTCTGAAAACAAAAGAAGGCTACTTTTAAATTTTAGGAAGAATAAATGTCATTTACTTTCTCTCTCTTTTTTTGAAATCAGTTAATGTACAGAATAACAGTTAATATCTTTGAAAAAAGAGCAATATGTTCCTTTTTTTTTAATGTCGCAGTGCAACTTACATCTTACACATCTGTGCAATGTACCATGAGGTGTATACCCTGGAAATAGCACACAGTGGAGTCCCTTTCGGACAGTTTCCTAAGACACACAGACAGAGAGGAAGAACGGGACAGTCTGCGCCTAAAATGCAAATCTATGCCTTTAATAGATCGTCTTTTAAAAAAGGAAAAATAGAATGTCACTATTTATATTGGGGGGGGGAGAAATTGAGATCTCTACAAATGCAGGACGTGTGCCGATCACTATAGCAGGGAGGTTTCCTTTTCTGATTGGCATGCTCTAAGCTCCAGGCCGGTTACGGCAGCGCTACTGGCTTCTGGGTTGGGATGGAGGGATGTCAGGGCTGGGGGGGGGATTGAAACGGGCGTAGCAACGCAGCCCCCCCACCCCCCCCAAAAACAAGCAGCGGGCGCGCAGTCCACAGAGGGCAATCTCCGCCTCGGTTGCCGACAGGGTCCCAGTTATCAGGTGAGCAGTTATCATTTACCTTTCCATGTTCTCAGCAAGGCTGAGCTGGAACACGAAAGCTCGTTCGGTGGGTCAGAGGACCACAGAACGAGCCCTGCGGTTTTGGGCCGTGTTGCTGGCCCGTCCAGGGCTGGCGGGGCCTTCAAGGTCCAGTGTGCGCACCCTGTCATCCTCCTTCCCGTCTGATGTCTGATGTCTGATCGGCTTCCTAGCTACAGCTGCAGGGGGTGGGAAGAGCCGGCTGGAGAAGAAGGAGGCTGAAGGTTGAAAGGAGGCTCAAAAGCACACCTCCGTTTCTTCTTCTCTACAGCTGAGCAGCCTCAGGGTCTGGGAAACTTCTCGCCCAAGGCCTGGAGGGGGGTGGTGGTGGACGCTCACAGAGGAATGCTCATTGTCCCCTTAAGCTGTTCTTTTAAGATTGGCTGCTTGCGCCTAGGGGCCCCTAGCCCTCACGGTGGAGTCCTGCAGCGCGGCAGCAGCTCGCCAGGAGCCTCGAGCCCGAGCGAGTGAAACGCGGGCCGGCGCAGGCCCAGACAAGCAGCGGAGCCAGCTGTGGCTTGTGCAAAGACAAGAAGGGCTTTTCGTTAACTGCGGCACCGAGGACATCAGAGCTTTTTTGGACCCTGAGGCTGAGGCTGTAGCCAAACCCATCCATGTGCTGAGACATTAGCCTCTTCCTGCTCCTGTTCCTGTTTTTTTCAGGCCGTAATGAATGACGCGTTAAACCGTTCTTCAGCAAAAGTGCACTCCAGCTCTCTTGGCATCACAGTGGTATACATTTTCACATATATACACATATATTATAGGTCGAGATATACTGTACATGTATATTTTAAAGCTGCAGCTATTGTCTGAATCCAAAATCTTGCTAATGCACCGTAGTACTCGCACGGTCAGTTCCTAACCCCTGCCTTTCTGGCGCTTGTACTGCAGAAAATATGAATCGGACAAGACGGAAATAGGGTTAAGTCTCTTGCACTTATTCAAACTACTGATTAACATAACGATAAACCTGTCTAAAGCACTACCCCTGTTTCACCACAGGGCTGTAGCCTTGCCCCAGAAATGACACCTCAGCGGAGGTCAGAGGAAAAAGAACCAGGCAAGCGAATAAGCAGGACCCTGTGTCCGAGCGCGTGTGCTTATTCGTCAAAGGGGGTCCCCCGAGTTCTCCTTCCTCATTCAGCGGAGGGGACCCTAAGTGTGTGAGACTGTTGACTGGGAAGTAACTGGGGGGGGGGTGCCCATATTTTCCGTGGCTCAGAGAAGGAAGTGAGACTGGCTTCTGCTCCCCTCAGCTTTCTGAGTGCGTTCAAAGCCGTGCCGAACATCACTGGACAGACCGCTCCTCCACAGCCAGCCCCCGCCCGACTCCGAAGGAACTGCACAACGCTCAACTACTTGTCTTCCACGGTGCTTCAATTTTTTTTTAACTCCTAAATTTCTCCGAATCCAGGTGGGGTTCAGCCCCACCGGGGAGGACCTCGGCCAAAAAAAAAACAACCAAATCCCTAAAAACGGAAGAACGCGAAGTTGTCTCCACAGAACCCAAACCTGAGTCCGGAGTTCAGGCTGAGGCCAGGAGGGCGCCCCCTAGCGCAATGCACAGGCAGAAGCAACAGTGACCTTTCAGGCAATACAGTGTTATGTTTTTTTTTGTTGTTATGTTTTTTTCCTCCAGATTTTGTAAAAAGTTTTTTTTTTTTTAAGGATTCCACCAGAATCTGAAGATTGCATTCACAAGGGTAGTTCACAGTTTTAAAGAGATGCTTAAAGGCAAATAAAAATAACACTCCCCCCCCCCTCTCTTGTGTAGTTATATTTTGTCCCCCTGTGGTGCTCGTTTCATGCATTACTTTGAAATGTTTTATTTTACTTCAGAAAGCTGTCCAGCAGATAAGGTGGTAACTCTAGGGATCCTCGGAGCCCTGCTGCTCCCTTGAAACCTGCACCCCCTTGCTTTTCACACTGGGCCATCTCTCATTTCTGTCTACAGTATTTAAAAACAATGAATCCTAGCAGTCGGAATTGTATAAATATATATATAAAAATCTGTCTTAGTTGGTGAGAGCTGTTGAACTGCAAGCTTTAGTACAGTGGTACAGTGACGTGGCAGGAGAGACTCCCTTCTGTATTGCTGCTACATTGCTCCCTCTCTTCTACAGCTAAAAAAATACTGATTAAAAAAAAATAAATAACAGAAACTGAAGAAAATTGAAAAAAAAATGCACATAGTGCTACACAACAGCAGAACCGAAATAAAAAGTACTTTTTTGTTCCTTTCTTCAGAAGACAAAAGGGAGGATAATACTTTCTCTTCAAGCATGCAGTAGGCATCCTGTGGCGCGATTTATCTCCAACCTATTTACAGAATAACTTTTTTTTTTCCTGTTTGTTCTGAATACATTATTTACAAATAGTACAGTGGTTGCTTGGTCGGTCAGCCTGGTGTGGGGGTGTTGGGGGTTGGGGGGTGTTCGTTGGTCTTTTCAGTTTCTCTCGGGGGGGGGGGTGTTCTGGGGGTGTTGAGGAGCAGGAGCTAGGTGGGGGTGGGGGGTATGTTAGGGGGTTTGGTGGCGTTGTCTGGGAGCTGGCAGCAGGCCTGGTGACCCCCTCTCCCCTCCCGGAGGTGCCTCAGACGTGCGTCTCGATGAAGGAGTGCGTGTGCGTCACCAGGAGGCTCAGCGGCGACAGCTCCGGCGCCCCCTCGTGGCCGTCCCGGGGCGGCGCCGAGCTGAACTCGCAGATGTCCATGAACAGTTCGTGGTGCCGTTGCTTCCACTCCCGGAACTTCTTGGAGGTCAGGTGGGGGTCGTCCAGGACTTGGCTGACGATGGCCAGGTCGCCCTCCTTCGCCTGACAGGACAGAGAGGTGGACACCGATAAAACAGGTCAATATCCCACCGTGCCCACCTGCGCTGACATATCTCAAGACTGGTGAGCACATAAAGGGAGAATTTAAGTTTCTTTCAGTGGACAGGAGACACGTGCAGGAGCCTTATACCTAATTAAAAAATGTATACTAGCTAGCTAGACATTGGATTTTTCTGCAGGAACTACAGATTCAGAGCCCGAGGTACTTATTGCCAAATGCGTCGTTTTCAAACAGAGACATCCTCAGTAAGCAGGGGCATCCTGCAGCGTCAGCTGTACTTGCAGGAGCACAGTTGTTTGGGTACGGCCCCACTGAGACTTACAGATAACCTAGCTCTCTCTTACAGGAGCTCTTGCGGCTATTTTGTTTTCAACTGTAGCTGATCAAAACTGAAAAGCCACTTGCTTGCAGTAGTTTTAACTTCAGATATTTCCGTACGCAGCTCTTTGCTGCCAGTCTGGGTACAGGGCGGGCGATTTGACCCACCGATGGGAAACAAGCCCCTCTTTGGGGTCCGCATGTCGAGCTGGTGTGTCCCCCCCCCCTCCGGCCCCCCGGCCCCCCACGCCCAGAGCCTTACCTTCAGCGTGCTCCGCAGGGCGCGGACGCGGTGCAGCTTGTCGTTAATGACGGGGTCGTTGCAGCGCTTGACGAAGGAGCGGCGGAACTCCTGCCTGGTGGAGGGGCGCTGCTCGCCGAAGGCGGACAGGCTGGCCTGCTCCAGCGTGCGGTAGAGCTCCTGCAGCTCGTCGCCGGTCTCCCCCTCGCGCCGGCTCTCTGGCAGGGGCAGAACGAGAGGAGTCGGACACGCGGGCGGGGGATTCAGCTCTGACGGCACTGGCGTCTGGAGTTATTGCCCCGACCGGCTGACCGGTTGACCGCATGACTGGCCAACTGACTGACCGGTTGACCGCATGACTGGCCAACTGACCGACTGGCTGGCTGAACCACCTGCCTGGCCAACTGACTGACTGGCCGGCTGACCACCTGTCTGGCAAACTTGACCAACCGCCTGGCTGACCACCTGCCTGGCCAGCTGACCGACCGCCTGCCTGGCCAACTGACCGGCTGACTGCCTGGCCAACTGACCATCTGACTGACTGCCTGGCCGACTGACCGGCTGACTGCCTGGCCAATTGACCATCTGACTGACTGCCTGGCCAACTGACCATCTGACTGACTGCC